TACGCTGCCTCCAGGTAGCGCAGTAACCGAGTTGTCCGTGCTTGAACTAATACTGGAAAAGATTTTTTGGGGTCAACCGAATGACCGCTTTCAAGGAGGTGCTTTGTAATAGAAGACCGTGGAATCTTGTTCTCCTGCTTTAGAAGCCATTTAGGCAGGTGCTCAACTGACCTGGCGGCCAGTTGCCTTTGCGTTCGCCCAATGTACTTGCATCCACAAGTGCATGTAAATTTGTAAACACAATTTTACGTGGCGTGCAATGGCAAGGCGTCCTTCGCCCGTGGAAATTGGATAGCCTTAGTAGGGCCGCAGAATACGAGTTCAAATCTTTATATCCTTCTCACTTGTTATCTGTGTTATGTAGCGACAGGCTGCAGTTGATTAGCCGTTGAGAAATTTCCCGGTTCCAATAAATTCTGCTGTCCATGCCTGCTTTAGATTCATTCCTGGGAAATATTGTTTCAAAATGCCATATTACACGATCCACAGTCTATTGACAGTTAATTGGGGTCCTTCTCTATACCGCTGCCGACGGGAGTAACTCAGATCTCCTTCCAGGATGGAAGATCAGGCTGCAGTGGCTCCTTCTTAGTGTGGTCTTTATAGCAATCCCACTCAGATGGGATCCCTGTCGCCCCCGCCTTGCTTGTGTGAAAACCCGGTCGGCCGTGTGCGGAGCAGGCGCGTGTGTATGGCTCGGGCAGACGCGCAGCTAGCATGCCCGATGCCGCCTCCGGTCTCACTAACTCAGTGTCGATACCGAGCTCAGGTGGGTGAGGAAGGAGCGGTGCAGTAGGAGTGTCGCAAGTCCTCGGTGAATCCTTTAGTTTTGGCCGTATAGGGCGTGTAGACTCTTTAAGCTGCACAAGAATGACTATTTCATGCATGTTTTCCTTGAAATATTTTTGAATTATAAAGGGCATCGAAAATCAATTTAAAAAAATGCATGCTACATAAGTATTCAGTTTTACGGAGTATGGTTTTTAGATGCAGCCGCAAAGAAGTTTGTTCGAAAGCAGACGTGCGGGAGTAACTGAATTATTATAGAGTTATGCTGTGCGAGGATTGGTTTTACAACCCTACTTAATTAATCTTTTCGAAACGAAAACGTATTTCGGAATTTCGGTTGAGATTTCATGAGCTAGCCCACCTACTGTATCCGTCAGTAGACTGTGGATTGGGCCATACGTGATTTATGGTAAAGGGAGTTTTGTGGGTGGGACAGCACGCCAGACAGTAAGCTGACAAAATGAGAGAAAGTACAAAATTGCCTGGATTTATGCCGAAAGTCTTACTCTACGCTTTTGTACGACAACGGAAATGAGAGTAATAATTAAACAATAAACAAAGTGTAAATTTCACAAAATAACCGATTTTGGGTTGAGGTGTGAGGTCTTGCTGGCGGTGTAATTTCTGCGGTAGCCCGCAAATGTATGCCAAAATAAAACCCCCATATGACACGATCCACAGTCTACTGACAGTTAAGTGGGGTCCTTCTCTATACCGTTGCGGACGGGGACGACCCAGACCTCCTTCCAGGGTGGAGAATCAGGCTACAGTGGCTCCTTCTTAATATGGCCTTTATGGCACTCCCGCACAGATGGGAACCCTGTCGCCCCCGCCTTGTTTGTGTGAAAACCCGGTCATTCTTGCGCGTACCAGGCACGTGCGGCGCGGGCAGACGCGTAGGTAGCATGCCCGATGTTGCCTCCGGTCTTATTGCCTCAGTGTCGATACCGAGCTCAAGTCGGTGAGGAAGGGACGGTGCGGTAGGTGTGTTGCAAGTCCTCTGTTCCTATAAATTAATTCACGCGTACTCCACTGTCCCAGCGCCCACCAAGCCCGGGGGGAGGCATACGGTGGGCATCGACGCTAGCGACGGTTGAACCGTCGCTGCGTGGGAAGTCGGACTCATTTATTGATCAATTTATGACTGGCCTGCATGTCTCCCCATCGCCTCTCGCGCTGCCTTGCTCCAGACCATCCAGTTAAGTTCTCCACAGCAGAACCGATCACAAGACCTAGGGATCTCACTGACCAATGACCTTGTGATCTTTTCGTAAGCTGGTTCCCAGTTTTCGTTTTGTTTGCCAATTGGGCACTAGGCGTGCCACTTCTGGCTGTCAAACGTACTTTCTTGAATGCATAGCGAGGCCAATTTTGTGGCGCGATGCGAAATGATATAAATAGCAGTCTCTATGACTTTAAATTGAGGCAGAAGAGATAGACATTGCTTGGATGCACTTGAAATCTCGTCTTCCCTCCGCTACCATCCAACTGTGCACACAAATGGACCGAAGTGGGGACAGTTTAGCTGGTGTTGGGGGGGGGGGGGAGAGTTTACCGAACTGTTAAATTATGCGCCAAAGATTCATGAAATTTTGGTCTGTAAATGGGCGAGAACCACTTATAGTCGGCTTTGTTAAATTCCTATTACAACCTGCAAATCGGCAAAGGATAGAGCGAGTGAGGTAGACTGTCTCAGCCCACAAATACCCACTATAAACAATCTGACGCGTTTGAGACTACATATGTAGGTTCACAACTGTGGCTCGGAAGGGTGTCAGCTAAGGATTCAATTCGGATCTCGAAGTCAGTCTTGTGTGCGTTTCCGCATTGAGCGGCCAAGTAGTGAATTGTGAATCAGGCTGCCATAGTCCCTTAGTAATGTGGTCTTTATGAGAATCCTACTCAGTTGAGATCCGGGCTATCCCCTTTTTTCCTCTTGTGAGATGCCCCGTTCGTTTTGCGCGGACAAGGGGGGTGGTGGCACACCTTGGCGCCGTCTCACGCCGCGCCAACTACTTGCGCCCTACTCGGCTCAAGAGGGAAAGGGCAGAGGAAGAGAGAGTGAGGCAGATGCTGCGCAAGTCGACAGCCCTGCTTCTATCCTGATGTGAAGCACCCGGCGAATCTCGTCGGCAACAACAGCGGAATTATCGGACTTTTTAAGTAATTAATTTCCATCTACTTTCCTGACGTTCCGCCGCTGAATTCCAAAAGCCTCCTTTCAGAATTTAAGTTTTACCTCTTTTTTCGGCAACGGTAGGATGAGGTACTTCACTAAACTGTTGATGGACCGCGGCATGCGGGAGTGGTGGTAATGGGGGTCTTACGGCCGGGGGGTGGGGGCAGCACGTCAGGCAGTAAGCCGACGCCACGCAAAAACGAGGAAACTGGCTGGATTTCTGCAGAACGTCTCATCGCACACTTTCTTCTGCCAACAGAAATAAGTGCGTTAATTAGAATATAAACCAAAAGAAAATCTCAAAAAGTCACAGACTTTGATTAATGGGTTGAGGTCATCGGGGGTAACTGCTGTGGGCATTATAGTTTCTGAAACGGCCTGCAAATGGATACCAAAATAAAATCCCATATGACATGATCCACAGTCTACCGGCAGTTAAGTGGGGTCCTTCACCCTACCGTTGCCGATCAGAGAGAAATTGCGTGCGGTTAAAATTATCTTGGCAGTGTTACGTCCCATAAAAGTGCCCACATGAAGCCATATTTGTGTCAGTTGTGGCGGTGTCGGTGGCGGTGGTGGTGGTGGTTGTGATTTCTGTCATCCCTAACCAGCGTCTACGAAACGATTCGAGGTTCGTCAAAGTGGGCGCGGACTGGGTGTTGCAGTCCGTTCGATTGTCAGCTAAAAGTACACCACTCCGGACGTGCACTGTAAGGAACGTCCGCGCTCGCTGGCTCGCACGGGTACATTTCGCTCGCTCACCAGTCCGCGGAACGCTACTTTTGGCGTTAATTCCAAAACTGCTCCCGCTGACCCCTTCACGCTATCCTCCCCCCCCCCCACCCCCGCGTCCTAATTTTGTCCCAAATTTAGCTACACAAAAGCGGCCTACAAAACCTGTTCAATACAACGGGCTTTTTTTCTACCGATTACACAACCGGCTTCAGAAGTGACAACTTGATGCACGACGGCAGTGTGAAACCGTAGATGTCAGTCTGAGCGAGCCGTGTCTTGCTTCGTTGACGTCGCCGACGGGCCACCAGTAGGGGATGGCTTCCATAAACGGGAGCGAGCCAGCCGTATGCTGTACTTTTAAGTGAATTGGCACCTTGGTGGCGTTTACTGCACGCTTTGCGCAGTTTTTAGCAAAGGATGATATAAATATAAAAAAAGTGTAACTTCGATTTACGCTTCCAGGACTCTGATTGGTCCATTTTCATTTGCAGACGCTAAAATAGCTAATTGACGCTAGGTGTGTGTGTGTGAGGTTGTTGAACTTAGTGCCTACGTAGCCTGGGCTGCGAAGCCGTTTCTCGCCCGCAATCCAACCCAAGTGGAATTGAGGTCAGGTGGTTGACCCATATGAACTTTTTTCAAAGTGTGACGTGGCTTGTTTTATTCATTAGCTACGAGAAAAAACAGCATGAAACGCTGGGATCTATTAGTTTGCGGGAAAATTCCAACGGTCCAGAAAAGAAGGACATCTGGCTATCACGCTTATTATTTTAAAGCCGCCGCCACGATTAAATTTAGCATTTGACGACCGGTGTTCTTTCTTCCTTCGTTCCGAATCGCTGTAGGGTGCAAAATGTAAGGCGTACTGACAGAGACAGGGGGGGGGGGAATTTGCGTCATACCTCTCATTCCTCCGAAGGTTGGCAAAAAGCAAGCATGAGAGTCGGCATGATAGCCGATTGCCATGACAGTTCGACGGTCGCGTCCGACGATGTCCACCATGTGCTCCACAGGAAGGCGAAAGAGGCACGGTGACTTGCGCAGCGTCTACCGCGCTCTCTCCTCCTCCTCCCACACCTGGGCCCGGTGTCAAGACAGAGTCAACAAGACCGGGGGGTGGGAGAGGGCGCAGATGGCTGGTGCGTCACCCCCTAGTCCACGACAAGCACTTGCCTAGGACTTAAGCCAACAATAGCACCAAAATGGGTAAGAGGGATGAGGATGGCTGGGGGACATGTTCGCTACCTGTATACCCACCGCTAACGCAAACGCATCTACCGGCAGGGAGCCAGGTGTGCTAGAGAACTACCAGTGCACGCCAGGCTACGAGAGCCACGGTCTGCTGAAGCTGATTCTTACAGTCGCTGTAACGCATCATCATCATCATCATCATCATCATCATCATCATCATCATCATCATCATCATCATCATCATCATCATCATCATCATCATCATCATCATCATCATCATCATCATCATCATCATCATCATCATCATCATCATCATCATCATCATCATCATCATCATCACCATCACCACCATCATCATCATCATCATCATCATCATCATCATCATCATCATCGCAAGAACAACAGCAAGGGTAATGTCATCGCCGCCACCATCATCATCCCGGCCCGGCAAGTGAAGAACCATTCTCTGGCCTTATTAAGAAAACAAAATCGCCGTATGGTTTATGGTAAAATTTTCTCCACAAAAAATAAACGCCCTGCCAGTCGCCGCACCCACTGCCGCCTAAAAATAAAGTGTCCAAATAAATATCGTGTTGATCGCAAGACCTTAGTTAGCGGCCAACTAGACGAACATTGTGCTGGTTTGCAATTTCAGCTCCGTTTGTACTTTGCAATATAGTTTGCACTTTATGCAATGAGTCGTCATGAAATTCGGTGAGTCCTTTATCTTTGGCCGCAGAGGGGGTAGACTCTTTAAGCTCTAACTTCGCCTATTGTCATTATTTTGAAAACGAAATTCAGATTGTAGCTTATAAAGGTGCCTATCTCCCAGTCTTAATAAAAAGACTCTCTACGTTTCAAAGTGTCGAGATATCAGCATGCGGAAATGAAAAATGTTATCGTAGTCTCTGCAAAAAATTTGATCGGTATTCCAGCAAGGGTTGGTTCACTTATATCAATGAGATCATGGGAGTTTAATGCACCGTTTTTGCAGATAACAGTTGTCTGGGTGCCTATTTGCACAGTAGTATAAAAATTACGAAAAACAGAAAGTGGTGCTCTAACCCTTCAATCCATGACAGATAACCAGGTTCAGGTCATATTTAAGTCATTCCTGCTAACTGCATAGACTGTGAACTTAAAAGAGGTAACCTCAGCTTTGCAATAGCCCGAATTCGTTGAGAATTTTCTTTTTAAATTGGGTCTTACAATTAGGTTTAGGGTTTCATGTTTTTTTTTATTTTGCTCCTTGGGTATATGGAACAACCCCATAGCAGAAAAGTTAATTTGAACACAAAAGCATTTTTAGCCATAAAGGCCTGCTTAGACTTGACACCTAGCAGATTTAAATTACGCCGATCTAACCGAGGCGTGAAAAAACACTTTGGCCCTGAATGCGTCTGTGCAGTTGAAAAACTGCAGACTTGACTAGACCAAATTCCAGTTTTTTAACGCAAGTATTCGTCCGCGACACATCTGACTTTGGTAACTTTGGTCCAAATTTGCCGCTCTTTGAAGATGCCGCATTCGCGACATCCGACTTTCAAATACCTAAGAGCGACATGCTACGTCACCCTGGGCCGTGGTGATAATCGTGGTGTTGTTGCTAACGCTGACGCGGCTGCAATCTTTAACACCAGACCTGCTGGCCTGCGTCTCCGTCGGGATGTCGCCAGCCGACATTATCGTCGCCAGTTTGGTTTTAAGCCAACCAGCCGGTGGAGGAGGAGAGACGCATTTTAAGGAATTTTACGAAGAAAAAACCGGAAACCAGTCATTTGAGCTTTTTTTTTTCACAGTTGTCCGCGGGCGCAGCTGATAAGGGGTGGACGTTCTGTGTGCTAAAAACAAAAAGGGATCGGGCGCTTATCACGCGTCCTCTCCTGATAGCGGTCCACGATGTCACAGACTGAATATGCGTCGGTTGGTCGGGGTCGGGTTTAACAGTGAAATTGTTTTGGGCCCTCGCCCGTTGTTTTTGCCCTTATCTAGAAAACATTTCAATTATTGTTTTAGAGTTGCGAAAATTCCCATAGCAGTAATCAGAAGACGAGGTGGCGAGCATACGTTGCTTTCGACAAATTCTCGTCGGGCCAGTACAGTTATATGGGAACGGGGTAGGAGTAAAAACACGTCAGTGATAAGATAAATCGATTAAAGTTCGCCTTAAAACACAGGCGGGGTGTGGGAATGTAGGGGTAGGGTGGGGGTAATAGAAGTCAGTGTCAAGGGCGGGTGAGAGCACAAGGGCGCGGAGAGTTGTAGCGTTAGTCGACCTTCGACCACTATAGGCGCGGAGCCTGAACGTGGTTCTTCTGTGCGCATAAGATTGGCTTTCGTAACCTAATGACGGCCGCTTCCGCTGTCTCTAACGGGCACTGGCCTAGTAGCTTAAGGTAGCTCGATGGGACCTTATTGGTCACACGAAACGCTTCATTGGGGTCTACATGATGTCCGGAGTCAACAACATGCGTGAGAATGGCGCTGCTTATGCTCCTCTTTCCGCCTTTTCCCAGCCATGCCGGGAGGTGCTCCCGTATTCTCTCGGATAAGCGCCGACTCGTGCGACCAGCAGCAAGGGTTCAAATATCATTCTCTACTAACCCTATTTTACGCGGAGAATGTAAGTATAAGTTGCCACCGCAGACCATCTCAATGTGCATCTATACCTTCACTTGCTTCAGTGGAGCAAGTTATATTGGTCCCCCACATTCCCACACCTCGCCTGTGTTTTAAGGAGAACTTTTGTCGATTTCTCTTATCGTTGAAATGTTTTACTTCTACCTCGTTTCCATATAACTGTACTGGCCCGAGGAGAATTTATCGAAAGCAACGTATGCTCGCCACCCCGTCTTCTGATTTCAATGATTCATAGGTGTTAGGGCAGATTTCAAATAATGCATTTTGACCCAACTGTGAAAAACTCGGTGCCTCGGTGAGATTCGAACCCAAGACAGCAGGGAGACGGCTTTAGTACAGCTAACGCTTTAGCCACCTGAGCTAGGAGGTCCCATCGGACGAAGCGAGGTTAATCACATTTGGGTCACGTTTACCCGCCCAACTTACTGCAACGTCTGGAATCGAACAAATCCGATACAGTAAGCTGGCTGCCCCGGCAGAATTTCCCAAGCAATTCATATAGAATCCACCAGATGACTACCAGGCACATCCTGTTATTTGCTGATAAGCGGCCCGATACTGCAGTCTGATGTAGCATTCATCGGAAAACTATCTGATCTGGACAGTGCACGAAATTTGGAATTCTTGCACCAGTGGGTCAAAGTCGATTAGAAATAATGTTTTCGTCTTGTATCGCTTTAGTTGAACTAGAGGATATTTTGAATTTGTTCCGTGAAAGCGATAATCCTGGCCGGCTTACTGTCAACAGCTGAAGAACCCACCCAACCGAATGCAATTTTTCTAAATGCATCCATTTCCCTGACCACAGGTGTTATGGCAGTTTTCAAATAATTCACTTTGACCCAAGTGTGAAACCTCGGTGCCTCGGCGGGATTCGAACCCACGACAGCAAGAGAAGACTTTATTATAGCCAGCGCTCTAACCAGCTGGACAACGGGGTCCCGCCGGACGACGCGAGTTTAATTACATTTGGGTCACGTTTGCCCGCCCAACCTACTGTAACGTCTGGAATCCACCAAGCCTGATACAGTAAGCTGACTGCCCCAGCAGGATTTCTCAAGCAGTCCATCTAGAATCCACCAGATGCCTACCAGGCTCACCCTGCTTGTGATGAACTAGGAGATATTTAGGACTTACTCCGTGAAAGCGGTCATTCTGACCGACTTATTTTCAACGACTGAGGAACCCACCAAACCAAAAGCGCTTTTGTCTAACTGCAGCCTCTGAAGTAGAGGCATTGTGCGCACCTCGGCAGTTTGGTCGCCGTAAGGGACCCCATCGGCTACTTGTCCCTCGGAGTGGGTGCGGCATCGGCGGCTTGCGCGTTAATTGGTTCATTGTGAGGCGGACTCCTGCAGCATTCACTGTACTCTCCGCCCTCCGTCACCTACCCTACCCCGCCAACAAGTCGATGGCAGTGCGATTGGACGTTGGCTCGTGAAAAAAGTTGATTGGTTCGTCTACGCGTGCCACACACAGCCTGGATCCCACTGGATGTGCCGGACTTCTGGATGGGCGGCTTAGACCTCTCGTGTGTCGGGGTGCATAGGGGCCATTTTGGGAAGAGGCCACTGTAGCCTCCCTCTCGGTCCTGAGAAAAATCAAGTTATCCCGTCAGATGGCAGTTTCCCAACTGATAGCATATGTTGATAGATTCAAATTAATCTGGCTTATTGCGGTTCGAATTGTCCTGTTATGCGTGGGGATAGATTTCCCAGTGTCTCTGTTGTCCGCTCTCCCCTCTCCAATGTACGGGGTATTTCCGCCGACTGATAATATGTTTGGACCCACTGTCTGGCATGGTGGGAAAGCATACGTCTGAGGCATGCCATCCTACGCATAAACGACAACAATTGTGGACTCTTGCGGACTCAGCACGACCCGATAAACGAACCTGGCTCAGGAAATTGCATACATGGCCTATGCAGACTTTCATTCTCAAGCATTTTTTGACAGTGGCCACCTTGCCGATGCCAATAAGGCCTTCCAGCCAGTCTACGAGGATCTAGAATTCACTTCGATAGTGCGTGTTGGTAAGGATGATCAGATTACGTGGGCCAATCTGGAGAGCGCAGGGGAAATCTGTGCAGGTCCTTCAGCTGCCACGGCCAAACGTCAAACAACCGACTACGCGTAGTTTCACCGAATTGTCTCTGTAGGCAAAACTTCACACCTGTTGATTGTCAGACGCCTTGGCACCACCTGTACGAGCTGCAGATCGGCAGCTGCAATTCCTTCCACCAATCAGGATAGACCAGTGCACGCCACTCCCGTGTGCCTGAACCAACCAATCGCGGGCCATGAAAAGGGCATCAACTCAGTTCTCCAATGTCTTCTTGATACCGGAATATGCTGGTTCCTTACTCCTTACCCATTATTTGGCCCATCTTTATGTAACTCCTCGGCTATTCACTCAACCGGATCTAACCTTGTCCAAGGAGAGTTTACCGAAAATTTGGCGTGTTTGCCAATTTGTCTTCTAAAACTACTCAGTCTACTGAAAACAGCACTGTCTATAAATAGAGTACACTACGTCGGAGCCAGCTTCCTGTCTCAAAGAAGCTTTTGCAGTAGGACTTACAGTGTCTGGTCGATCTCATGGAATGTTAGCCGACATTCTGAAATGTGTTTTCGATCAGAAAGAACAAATTAGGTGAGGTTTTCATATTGATCGTCGTACAACACAATTGCAGGCCACTCCAGGATGCTGGGTTTCGAATTCATTTCTATCCAGCTGCCTACTAGAAACCACACTCGGTAATGAGCGACAACATAAGTACAGTAAGAATTACTCCAATCCCTAAAAAATCTTTAACTTTTGCT